GAAATACCGCGTAACAAGCCAATGGCTCCTGCTCAAAGAGCAATGTGACGTCATTGACGCTTTTTACCGTTCAAAGCACGAGGCGGAAAGGTGCGTGAGAGTAAGTCTCCCCATTCGACACCCACGTTTTGTGCCCGGAAGCCGAACGGCATGGGGCGTATCGCTCACGCTTATAATAAGCTAATCGCTGCCACCATTCCGGCACAAACGCCAATTCCTGGAAAGGATTTTCCCGAGGACAATAGGGGGTTGGCTATACAATGTACAGCGTACTCGACTTGTCGATTGTAATCACCAATTGCTCATGAGAGCGAGTGATATTTTACTGACAGCGGTGAGTACTCCAATCGGGACCTTCTGGGAGTGGCTGATGATGCTTCAAGTGTACCAGCAATATATAATCGTCTTGTCACGCAGTTATTCGAGGCCAATCGGGGGTATGCACAGAAATACTTTGATGACATCTTCATCCACAGTCGTGCGGAGCACGAGAGAACAAATGTGGAAAACTACATCGTCCAATTGAGTGCGGTGCTCGAGTGCATGCGGACGAATAAGCTTTTTGATAATGCCAATAAATGCATCTTCGGCGCAGAATAAATTCTTTCTTAGGGTGCTTTATTGGGAAGCGTGGCCTCTGAGCGGATCCCGCTAAGATCAAGGCCATTGTAGACTGGCCGGTTCCAACGAATTAAACGGACTTGCGCAAGTGGCTTGGCCTTGCCAACTACTTGCACAAGTTTAACGCAAATATTGCGGAAATGACACGGCCATTGTCTAATTTTCTAGAGAAGGAAATAGAATGGTGTTGCGACACCGAGCACCGGGAGGCCCATTACAGGGTCAAAGACAGCGTCCTTCATGCACCAATACTGGCGTTGCCAGACCCCAAACGTTCTTCTAGTGCCGTCTGTGAACGCTTTAAACTTTGCCATCGGGTGTCCACTGCTACAAGCAGACGCCGAGGGCGCGATCGGATGATCGCGTCCAATTCCCGCTAGCTAAAGGCTGCGAAGAGGAACTACCCAGTTCACGACAAGGAACTACTTGCGATGAAGTATGCGCTTGTCAAGTTCAGAGTGCACCTGCTTGGCTCAAAGCCGCATGTGATTTAGACAGAACAAGCGACATTACGCACGGCACTCAGTCGCCTCACCTTTCGCAAACGATGGCCAAATAGCTCTCATTCTTTGCAGAATATAACTTCGAGGTGAAGTATAAGCCAAGAAAGCAAAATGCTTTGGCTGATGCGTTGTCACGCAGACCGGACAATGAGCTTGCTCTTTTCACGACAATGACGCCGTCAGTGACGGATTTGATCCGCGCGGGGGTGATAGTATGTGTATAGCATTGCTACATACTCTCGGGAGCAAGGGGTTTGAAGACTCGAACAAGAAATTGTCGGCACGTTTGCGCGCACAGTTTCAACTATATTCGATAAGTTACTGTATAATAGCACGATTCAATGGATACGCCATGTGTTGTGGTTCCTCATGATGAGGATTTAAAATATCGTATCCTCGATGAGGCCCATGACACCCCACTCAGTGGTCATCTCGGTCGTGAGAAGACGTACAGCCCGAAAAGTTGTCACTATTGGTGGACCAAGCTGTAAATGTGGACGAGCACATTTGCGCACACGTGTGAGACGTGTCAGAGGGTGAAACCCTCTCCGAATGTGGCGCCGCCGCCGGTCAGATTACCACTTCTCTCCGAATGTTGGCAGTTCATGAGTATGGACATTGTGTTTGGCCTGTCGACATGCTCTGCACGTAACACGGTGCAGTGATCTTTGTTAACCGTTTGAGCAGGATGGCTCATCTTGCGGTAGTGCCGGACACCGTCGACGGTGTGGGTACAGCGACGCTGTCTCTCGATCGTTTCTTCCGACAGTATGAACTTCCAGCGTCAATTGTCTCTGAAATTTTCAGGGTGATGAGCACCAAGTTGACTATGTCAACAGCGGACTATCTAAAGACTGATGGCCAGACTGAGCGCGTGAATCGCGTCGTTGAAGACGTTCTGAGACCCCGAAGCGCCGGAGCGATATGTTGCCACTCGAAGCGATTGCGCTAAGCAGTGCATTCATCTACCGGCTACATGCCATTCTACGCGAACAAACTTAGTAATCCTCGCGTCCCGCTGACGCCGCCATCCCATGGCTCGCGGCTTAGTGGGTGGGGAAAAGCCAAACGGCTAGCTGATGTCAGCTCCCTAACCGTGCATCAGGAAGTCGGAGACTTCCTGTCTACTAGACTTTCTGTCTACTAGACCTCCTGTCTTACGACAAGTTTGCGATGCGATAGCTGAAAGCAAAGACATGCAGATGGAATATGCACATGGAATAGGAAGAAGAATTTGAATACATTGAGGTCGGGGCCTGATTTTAATAATGCCAAACACCTTTCTACATATGCAGTCTCTGTTGTCTTCAAGACAAAGCTCCGTCCACGGTTTATCGGACCTTTTAAGATCGTGGCCAAGCTAGGCCTAGCGTCTACGCAGAATCTTCCGAAACGGATGCACACCCACCCAGTGCATTATGTGGGCTTGCTTATGCCGTACCGGGATCTGGCGCTAACAAAGCGTTGGCGCCGGGGCGGCCCCCACAGGTGCTCGGCCACCCAGAAGCTGAGCCAAAACTGGTTCTGAGCGCGGAGTGCAAAAACTTCCGTTTTCAAATGCGCAAGGCGCTCCACTGTCACACGAAGTGACGTATTCGCCTGCTCGACGTCTATGAGCCGCTCCGACAGAGCACGGTAATCCTCAACGCGAGGCAGTCGGTGTACAAAGTGCTTCCGACTCTCGAGGCCTTCCGCACAGCGGTAGGCAACCTCTGGGAGATTGCTCAGCAGGGTGCCGATGAGGACGGACTTTGTCCTCAACGCTCGAAGAGCATCGCGAGTCACCGGACGGCGATCGACCAAGTTGTCATCGTCCGCCGCCGACACTTCTCGATGAGAATGGTACTACGTGAAACGCCTTGCGGGTCGACGTCGTCAACGGAGCTTAATCCAATATCTTGTGAAGTGGCAGGGATTCACAAACTCCGAGAGCTCGTGGGAGTTTGAGGTGCCACTTGGGCAGGACTGCCCAGACGCTTATGATCAGAAGGATCATATCGCTTCGCGTCGTCTTGCGTACCGCGCTTCTCGGCAGTAGTCTGGAAAGCCAGAGGGCCATAAGCTGAGCTCAAGCCATGGCTCTGAGCTGCTGTGGGCGTAGACCCACCCGTGTGAGAAACGGCAGAGCTCGCGGAAGCATTTTGAATTTTTCCATATTTTGCAGGGCGACAATACGCATAAAGTCGGCGTTGCGCCTTGAGTTTGGCAAATTCAAATCTAGGATGGCGTTCAACGCGCAAATCCACTCATTTGTGGCTTCGCTGTAAGGTAGACAGCGAAGCCGCTGCACCCATTGCGCAAAGAGCTCATCGTCAACCTTAGCGGTTTCGCCAAGGGCGAGCACCACAGGGATGGTCCGCATTGCGGAAATAAGAGCACTTCCCTTTTGAGCTCGATGTCAAGCGCGGTCCCGATCGATCGGGAATTCTTATTGTACCAAAAAGCGAGTTTGTATAGCTATCCGCTGATCAAGCTCAGCTTGTGTCGTGGCCGAGGGGCCCGACTACGTAGACGTCTAACGATCAATTGATCGCGTCTTTCGCCTCAGTAGCGGGATCCGACGAGCGGAAGCCGTATTCCTCACGGGTGTCTAAGACCGGACGTAGATATGATCGCAAGATAGCCGCACTATGAGCAGCCTCCAATTGCTGTTCTTGTGCCTCGTTGAGGCGATTGGTAATGATACCCACTTCTCCCGGAAGCCAAGAGGTCGGGAAACGGACATGGTGTCCGCAAGGTTTGAGCTGGGCTCGAGTGAATTGGTCTTACACGTACCCTTTTGCGAAAGGGCGGGGGCACAATATGGTGCTACCTTACGTAGATGTGTATTACACAAGTTAGTGTAATCACACAGTGGTGTGGCTACACCGTAACAAAAAGCCATCACGTGGCAGGATTGCCAGTAGTAATGCATATTACTATATTAATTAGGTTTTGCACTACTAATTGGGTATTACTATATTATTTCGGTAGACTAGATGGGCGGCACTGTTGCAGCTAAAACAATTAAATACAGTTTCGATATTAAACAGAAATGCTCGTAGTACTTGGAGGTAGCGGATTGTGATCCGCTACCCTTGTTCTGGCTCTTGGAACGACGTAAGGTCGGTGACCTTAACTTCCTTTAAGTGAAGAGCTACGGCAGCCCCGCTGCAGTTACACTTGAATAAAGTTTGAAAATTCTGATTATTTTTTGCATGTGGTATGTATATATTGTTTTTGCATGTCTTCGCTTTCAGTCAAACCGTCAGTACTTGACGAAATTTAATTTGAGTAGACGGGCTGATATAATCAGTGCTGTTATTCCCTCCCCCATATGATCAGTCTACTTCATATATGCGTTGGGGAGGCACACGGATGTGTTAGTCTAGTTTAGAACCGACATGAAACTCTCAAAGGATAAAACTGCGTCTCTTGACAAATGAAGAATAAGTGATATCTCCTTTTGCGCGATGCTGTTTGTCGCTTGATTATTATAAGACTGGTTTGCTGCTGATATATGCCCCCAAACACCTTGAACAACGCTGGCCAAGCTTTTGCTGTGATACATGAAGGTGAAACTGTAATAATTGTCTTTGATAGCCATGTTGACGGATTGTTACGTATAGAAGTACCTTGGCCCTATATTCATCGATAGCGTGGTCGCTGGCATCAGCGAGATGGACTTATTGTTTGCTCAATGTACAGCTACTGAATATTTATTTTGTCGGAAGCGTCTTCAGAGCGACCGAAAAAATCGATGCTAATAATCACTTGCGCTCAGCCAGAGTTGGCATCCTGGCCGAAGGCATTCCACCCTTTAGCACGTCTCACACTTGCGTAGTTAAGCGATCAGCCATTCGTAAATGTCGAACCACCAGTACATTGTTCTTACCAAGCCGAAAGTCGTTTCCAAGAGACAAGTGCGTGGAAAAGGTTATCATATACCCCAAACAAGATACTTCTAATTTCATCTTCCAGCCACATGTTCTATGTCAAGTGAATCGGCGTTATGTTACAGTATACCTTGAGACTAGAAGTAGAGGCGAAAATGTGCTTATAAAATCTTCAGCAATCTTTGGCACGAGAATCCTTTAGTCTTCAAAGCTTCCGACAAGTCACCCCCATTTGCATCTGATTCGAGCATCGTTGATGCTTAAAATCTAAACCGTGATATAATTCACTGATAAACTGGCGAACGCGCGTCCATTACCACATGAAGCCGAATAGGCTTGTATGCTACATCAAGCTTTTTCTCGTCAAAAAATAATGAAAATCTTGCCATTCTTTAGGATTGAAAGGCGACGACGACAATGCCGTGCATGTAATGACGCATGATCCGCAAAGATCCGTCGAGCAGATTTACTCTTTGCGTGACAAGAGCATACTTCATAGCAAGCAACTTATTACCGTGAGACAGATATATTTTAGCAATGCGCTGGCGAGACTCAAACGCGCTATCCCAATCATGCCCATTGTTTCAGCTATAAGGATAATACAGCCTATGATAAAGGCCGGAGTATCACCAACAACATGAAAATTCATGTCCGGGCTTGTTGTGATCCAGATAGGCGCATCTTAAGTCCTTTTGAAATAGTCTTGAAGCTCACCTCTTCTATTTCACAGCTGATGGATTGGAAAGTGGAACGGCGATGTCGGCACAGTTGACGCTATACTTGTGTAAGTTGTTGGCTTCACCAAGCCAATTTTGTAATCACTTTGAGGCAGTAACACGGGTCAATCCGCAATATCCTTGATCTTCGCAGGATCAGTCTGCAAACCGTGCTTCCCACTAAAAATTCCGGAGTGGAGTTTCGTCAGCACCAAAAACACACTTTTCTACATCCGTGAGCAGCTTATAAAAGCGCATAGACTTGAGCACAGCTTCGAACTGTTCAAAGCGGATCAGTGTTTGATCTTTCGAGTTTTCCATAGGCATTCCTCTGATTAATATCTTGCATATGTGCAGCTATTTCCTTTTCGTGTAGACTGATCGTTCATAACGTCTTTGCTACTTTCTAGATTCGAAAATATGGATTCCTTTCAGCATATGTTTTTCAGCACCTATCTCCACTGGGCCACAGTAGTTTGTACAATGTTGGACAATCAACTTTCGGTCTGATGCACAATGATTATTAATAATTTTCACTTGATTGACAATGATAAAAAACAAGTTGATATGCTTTCAAAGCAAATTTTATAGAGCCAAACTCAATTTTTAAAGGTACGATTTGTGTTGACACACTACTTAAATGTCATATATGCCAGCTGCGTCGGTAAGTTAAATTCTGACTCAGAAGCTGAAGAAATGAAAGAAATCCACTGAACCGGTATCGCCATTTTATGAGCCAAAATATAAAATGGGAGCCATTTCCTTACCACCCTATTACCACCACGGATATCGCGAGATTTACCTAATTCGAATATTTTATAACCTTCAAGTTGAAGTGATTTTTCTTTTCATTTCTCTTGTTTTTACTATTGATCTCCTCCACCCCTTCGGCAATCGCGATTTTCCGCAATTGAGCGGACCGACATTCTTATGCAGCAGGCTTCAGCAACCTCGTTCTTCCCTACAGCAAAGGAACTATCGAGCGGTGTTCAATGGTTTAAAGACCATCCTGTCCTAGCTGCGGCTGCTGCCACTGCTGTCTCGGTCATCACGTACCTCAATACGCTAGAATTATCTGAAACGGATGCTGAACGACCAGGCGACGGCGTAGATGTAGAGCTTGCGATCTCCACTAGACATAGAAGATCATTATCTCTTCGCCGCAAAGGATCGCCGGGGGTGGCTAGTGACAGTAAACTATCTGCTGCTGTTAGCTGGTGCGATGAGCATGGGGGAAGTCTCACGCAGGTGTTTGAAGACGACACGCCACCATGTATTCAACTGGACAGAAGTCACGAAGACGGTGATACCGACGACGAAGCTCGAGATGGTGTGGCTGAGAGTTACAAAAATGCTTTTCAGCAGCATAAAGTACTCACGAGTGGACTGCGCAAGAGTGTGACGCAGCAACAGCTAGATGCAGTAGTGGGAGCTGCAGCACATATACATGATTCGGACGTAGACACAGCACAGACAGAGAGTCCACAATGGGGATGGTACGTCCCTATCACGCCACCACAAGACCAATTCCAATCGACAGGACGCGATTCAACTCTTGGTCTAGAACACATGGCACGTGTTGTCGTCAAGCCTATGCAACGTTCAACTTCCTGATTGACGTTGTAGCAGTTAAACGAGCTGTGCCTTATGCGTCTAAATTGATAGATTTAAAACAATGTCATGCCTTTAGCATATTCTGCAAGCTATATCCGTCCATCCTTGTCGTACAATGTAGCTTAAAGTCACACTTGAGCGCTATGGCAAACCTTTCTTTGCCAGAAAAGTGAAATGTTCAGAGGTCTGTGTCTCAACAACTTGGTCAATGACAGCGTTGAGACATCGTACCACTGCATTTTCACCATATATGTCAATCACAGAGCTGCATAAAAATTAAACAGCAAGCGACATTCTTGTGCATGTTTAGTGCTCCAAGTCTGAAGCTCGTCTGTCTTTTGTTTAGATTGACTGCACTTTTCTTCATGCAGCATTGTTCGAGCATGTAAAGTCTTGAGCTCATTTCGAATACGCCGCAATTCAACGACCAACTGCACTTTAAGCATCTCCAAGGTTGCCGTTTCTCGTACAGCTACCCACTGCATCATTTTGATATGTTCATGCTCAACAGCAGTCAATAATTTGATCAGCGTGGCGTCTACGTCTTCCTTAAAAATTTGAACAGTTTCCCTCATCGACTCGTATTGGATTGTGAGATTATCAAGTGCATCATGATGGGATATATCAAGCTGTTGTATACGTTGGACAATTGACGCTTGCTCTTCTCTACACCCTTTCAAGGTATTCATTGTATTCGTCAATGATTCCATCCGTCTGTGAAGCTTTTCATCATATTTCTGTCGTGCTTGAGCCTCTAAAGGAACCACTTGCTCGAGTATACAAACTTTCTCCTGTACAACGGTAAGAACATCTCGCACAGCTTCTTCCAAATCGTGCATTTTCAATTTAAATTCTTCCTCTTGTCGCATCTGTGCTGCGTACCTTATCTTCACTCCTTTGGCAAGCTCAACTAGCACGCACTGAAAACGAGCATCCATGTCACTGATCAAAGCTTGAAAGACTCGCTTGATCTGTCCAAATTCGTTATATGTCCATCGTTTTAAAGCGATCACGTTGTCATTCACGTTTGCAAACTCACGCATATGTGATGATATCTGCTGAAAATCCAAACCTGTCGTGAGTTCGTCTAGTTTACGCACTAGATCTCGATTGTCAGTCATTTGCTTTGCGTGCAAACTTTCGACTTGTGCGTTCAATTTCGCATCTATCTCAGCATCACTCTTCGATATTGCCCTACGATCCGCATCGAACTCTGTACGAAATTGTACTATCGCATCTTGCATGTCTTTGAGCTGTCGATGGAATTCTGCGTCATGAGTAGACGACGTCACTTGCTGATTCGAATAAGTTGTTGCTAAACATTTTGCCTCCTCTTGAGTCTCAAGTTTACGCTGAATATTATCGACTGAGATTTTTAAAGTACAATCCAGCGTCTCAACTCGGTGACCTATTCGCACGATTTCTGCAAACAATAATGCTGCTTTCTTTTCATTGTCGCGCTGAAGATTGATATCATTTTGAAGTTTGGTATTGAAAGAGTGGGCGACTTGTTGAAGATCCTCAGAAATTCTCTCAGTCAAAAGCTACTTCCATAAAGTTTCAATGAGATACTTTGATCAGATTCAAAAGGCGCGACGCTACCTTTTCGTTGTCACGCTGCTGCTGGTTGATTGAGTTTATATTTTGAAGATGTTGCAACTCTTGACGAAAAAATTGATTTTCGCATTCAAGTGCATGCAATCGCTCTCCTATTCGATCTGTTTCGGTTGTCAACAACGCTTGATTTCTAGACTCAGTTTTGACACGATTTGGAGATGAACATTTTCTTGTATTGTTGTCATTGATAATGTCAGCACGAGTTTCATTTCGTCGGTGCTTAATTGGTGATTGAGTCGTGAATGTGCGAATGAGAGGCAGCATGTCTTGCTAATGCACTACAATCTCTACAAGACTTTTTAGTATATAAGTGTCTTGTAACGCCCACAATTGTGCAGACGCAAGAATAAACAATTACACGCAATAAATCCAGAGCGAGATGATTCCCACTTTATCCATCTCCCCTATATTGAGCTTTATTGCGTTTGCTACATGCGTACAGTGTATGACAACTACACGACCACAGTAACTACTTCTTAAGACCTGAAGACGGTTCTAACGGAGCACCATGTACATCAGACATCGTGGGTTCATTAGACGCTAAAGCATCATCAGCAGCATCTTCGGTCAAAATCTTATTATCACTAGGAGGTAGAGGAGGAGACACCAGCGTACCACCTGTGTACGGCGAGAAGCTACTGTTTGGTGGCGAAAAGTACCCTCGAGGATTGTAATTATGCGGTTGATAGCCATACCCACCGGTCTGCGCACTCATGATGCGCATATTTTGCTGGGGTATCATTGGGGGGTACAACAGGGGGACTCCATGAGGTCCCATTGGTATCCCGTAGCCATAAGGAGGCATACCCATTTCTCCACCTTCTTCTCCATTCAAACCATCGTACATCCATTCTTCTTGCACGAGAGGAGAGTAAGCCACACTTGGATGCATGTACGGCATTTGATGGGGCGAGCCGCCACGGTAGGGCGACGACACGTGCTGTTTTACGGCTGAGGGTACCGCGAAGTTGGGTGTAAACGGCGTGGCTGACGCGTTGAGCCTGAATTCCTTAGCATTTGGGTTCAATCCTTTCTTTGGAGCTGTATTCGGTGCCTCTTTTGTGTTTGTGGACGTCGTTACAGAAGATTTATCCTCATTTTCGGTCGTCTTTTGCTGTACTTCTTGCTTGTTTGAGCTTTCATTCACATCATCGAGAGACTTCTTGTTCTTGCCGTCCTCCTGCGTCTCATTCGAAACAGCGGTCAGCTCACTTTTTTCACCCGGATTATTCTTCTTTAATGTGGATGCAGTAGCAGATCGGCCAGTGACGGCTTCGCTGAACGACAGCGGCTTATGAACTGCTGCAGCCACAGGTGATGTTGTAACTGGGACGTCTAAGGCCGACGGCGTCGACTTGTCAGCACTACCTTCCGTATGCGCAACCTTTTCCGGCGGCTTGGCAACAGTTGATTGACTCTTCGTATTCCGTAATGCCGGAGGTACATATACTTTCTCATTAGTTAGACCACCCCTACGATCCACAGAGCTGTACCGAGCTTCTTCGTCGAGGTCATTGGCATGATTGTTACTTTGTGCTGTCTGTCCACGCTCCTCTTGAAGATGAAAATTTCCAGCAGCTGACTGGCGTTCAATCTCCTGAGCAAGTTTCTCTGCTGCACGCGACTGCTCGTTCGAGATCTTGGATTTGTCCAACTTTGTTGTATAAATATTCTCATCATACGTCGACACAACGCCGAAGAGCTTTTCGTTCGCTTCAAATTGATTCCACCCTGCTTTTCCCGAGCTCTTACGTCGACTATGAGACTCCGAATCCTCGAGTGCACCAGTGTCTAGTGCCGGATCTAGCCACGAACTGGCTGTCTCAAGCTTGCGTCCATACAAATGCTCTCCTTTTTGTCGACTAATCTCCGTGTCTGTACGAAACCCACTGGATTCAGGAGAAGCACTTGACGTGAACACACCATCTGTGTAATTAACTGAACCATCTGCTACCAAATATGCTAATTGATTGCGTCGAAAGATAGCAGTTTTTCCATCTTCAAATGGTTTAGCATCAGCACTGCTGCTCAGACGCTTAGTTCCCTTCAAAACGATGGAAAAATCGTTCGGATCAATGCAGTCTAAGATCCCGGCAAATCGTTCTTTCGAATCTACAAGCTGCAGCTCTACCGCTTTTCCAACCAAAAAACGAAACGCAAATAGTGCACGATGTCGCAGTAGTCGCACGTGCGTATCTACAAGACATTGGACAGTCTCATTAAAATACAATCTTTCACTATGTCAATAACAATAGTACTTACCGCTAAAGCCAGAAGAGGTAGATGGAGATGGACTAATACCAAAGCCTGGAGGAGGTGCACTACTTGGTATAGTTTTTGGATTGCCCCAAGGTCCGGAAACTGGTGGTGGGACCACAGGCCGTGGACCTACAGACGCAGCAGCATCCTTATTGTCGCTACTGCTCTTAGTTGGTTGCGACGCTTTCTTCTTCTTGTTCTTGGAGCTGTTGTTCATATTGCTATTGCTCGTACTGCTATTGCTCTTGCGGGTTGGAGCTGAAGCAGCTGATCGAATTGTCGGTGTCTGCATGGTGCAGTTATTGAGAGACGAAGCACTTGGCTCGGCTTTTTTGAGCCTCTTCCCCCGTTACCACGAAGTTTCGAATTGAGGGGCTAACCAACCTATTTGGACAACCAAAGATGAATTAAGTACAAAACTGAGGTTAATCAATGGTAGTACATACGTTACAAATGGTACATGCAAATAATGCGTTAAATGAAATCACTGTTCCATCGCAAACGCGAATTTCTAGACAGAATTGTTGCTGAACGGCATGGTCGACTGCGCTTTGCTGGCCGTATTTGCGATGCTTCGGTCTTTGTAATATGCGTCACAGTTAAACAGATGCCAATGGGTATGAGCATTTGATCGCATTTGAGTCTTGCCAAGTAAATGCTGCTGCAAAGGGCTCCCCTATTTTTAACAGGATATATTTTGCGATGTAGTGCGTTTTCGTCAAGTTCATAGAAGATTAGTCTTGTTTAAGCCGAGCTAAATCTATACAGATCATGCGTCGTTGAGCATGGCGTCGTCATCACCATATCTCTCACACAGAAAGACATGATGGTTATCGTTGTTGCCGAGTATACCTTTGACGTAAGCTTTAAGTCGATTCGGTTTAATCAGGTGGAAAATTGCACTTTCACATCACCCAATTATAAATTGTCGTGGATCACAACGGTGAGTCGCCAATTGGTGAGGTGATACGTACAGCGTATGGGACACTGGTCACATAAAGAAGGAGTTGGAGAACTCATGTATCGATTGCCAAAAGCGCGCGGTCATGCATGCACCGCTAATCCTTGTCCCTAGACTTGCTGTGTTTCAGCACTAACCCACATGACACTTAGCATGAATTGATGCTCTGATTAAGCGGATGAAATACCCTTACTTACGCTGGCAAAAGTTACCTGGTGCCGAAAACCGCTTACAAGATGGCACATTCTCGGTCTATATATCCTTTGGATCTCAGTGCGCTTCTACTAGCTGAAGGTGACCAATTTGATGGTGATGACTAATGACGACGGGGCTGTAATCAGTAGAAAATTGACGTCAAAAATTGTCTTTTTGACGTCCGCACTATGCCTTGCACTTAGAAAGTTAAGCCTAAGACGATGATCTCTGCGGACATCCGCTTTGCCTAAGCTGGCTTATACAGCCTTAGTCGGGAAAGCCGGCTTGTTTTCCTCATCCAGTACGCTAGTAAGGTCTAATACTCAGCGCAAGTTCCGGCAGCTCGCGGCGAGCGGCTTCAGGCTTGCCGCTGACAAGATTTGGCCATACTCTAGCGCCTGCAGTAGAACAAGCTGAGTTATTCAAAATCGGCCGTGCTTGTTGCCAACAGACTGTACACTGTCGTGATTTCTATGGCGAGGTGTTGAAACACGTCTTTCCGATGAAAACGGACCCAAAAAAGGAGACTCGTGCAGCGGAGAGGCTGCAGGCTGCAAGAAGTGAGCGCTTCCTCCTTGGTGAACGGCCAGGTCATGAGCCGCTTGCGAGAGCGGGGCGGAACTCGAAGAGTATCCAAACAGTCTCATCGGTAAAACCTCAGCATCCCGACCAAGTATTTTGTAAGCGCGTCTACCACGAAGTCCAAGCTTTTAGTGGGTGCTCGTTGAGTCACTTTATTAACTCTCGGGGACGGACTTCCGTTGCAATTACGCTGAGAAGGACAGATAGGGTAAAGTGCTTAAAAGTAGAGTCCAACTGAGGACGCAGAGAATGCTGATGGAGCAATCACGTTTGTTCAGTTTTCAAAAGGCAAAAAGTGCGAGTCTTAGCTTGGTTCAAATTTACATGTGACGAATGGCCTGTCTAAGCGCAAAAAAAATTCGCGAATGTTTGATGCAGCTGTTCACATTCAGATCTCCGCGCTGCGCACTTCACGACTGTGGACAGATACATAGTCGTACTATATATGTGATACGGCCTCAACAGCTGCGCCACCAAATGGTGGGGGTATAATGGGCGAGCAATGTAATGTTGTGTGCCTTACAATTATACACTTGCTCAATTGTATCCAATATACGCAGTACAGTTGTACAATATTTTTGTGATTGTGGTAACTGGATTATGGGTCGTTGTGAAGATGGCGAACCTCCAGAATCGAGGGAATCGAGGTACACATGGGCTGCTAGCCGCACCTTAAAACAACGATTTCACCATTAGAGTTAGTATAGTAAAAATTTTGTATTAGTTGAAGTAGAATGAACCCCGAACGTGTATTCTTGAAGAACTAAAGCTAGCTAGATATCTGGTAGCGATAAAAGCTCTCAGACTGATTAAAAGCGCTCAAACCCAACCCTTGTGCGTTTGTTAGCGCTAACATTGAGTACCAAAGCTTCATCTGCGCAAAGTGCTCGTCAATTTCGTGGCAGTCACAGCGCAAAAATTGGGTCCGCATTTAGTTCGACACCCACCGCTTCTTCGAGATAGGAGGGTAAAAGCGGAAATCTTTGATGAAGATGGTAATTGTTACTACCTCCGAGCGAGATTTTGCCGTCATCCGCTGGTAAGAGCTCACGGCATCTTGACATAGCCCGCTATTTTACGGCATCCTGAACAGACAAACAGCAGCTTGGAGCGCATTCGGTACGCCTAATTATGCGGTGCGAACACCCGCAACATACGTCGCTGCAACCTTCTCGTCCTCCAAACAGATTACTGCACGTAAGTGCTCACTCTCGGGAGCGGCCTTCTAGCTTAAAGCTCGCGAGTGCGACGCGCTGTGGCATCGTCTATAACGTGGCCGAATCATTGTCATCTTACTTTCTCTCGCCTTATGCTTCTGCCTCCGAAAGCCAGTTATAAGCCTCACGATGGGTAGCATTTGTGATCCCACCGACGCCAGATTGAGATGCTCCTGAGGGTTCCCACCAGTGTATTCTCACAGCTAGATAATGCCTTCGGTCAAGCGAGTACTGTATCTGGCTCTTGGCCCTGACACATTCGCGTTCAGCGATATCTATAAGCTTACTTAGCACTTCTTGCTGTTTCGAGGACATGTTATTAATCAACTTGGGTTTATCGTCACAGAATAGACAATAATAGCACCACTTGGTCGAGATTTTAACTTCTCTTGTTACCAAGTGCAACAGTACCCTGCACATAAAAAGCTTGACTCAAAGGGTCCGCGTTTATTAGCGCACAGAGTTTGATTTCGTTCACTTCAAGCAGAGGCTGTACCGAGAACCTTTTATGATTTCAAGAAAGACGTAAGCTAAGGAGAAATACTATTTAGACTGATACTAGATGTCTACATTTCGCTTTACTCGATGATAAATCTATCATTTCTGCTTGGCGTGAGGCTCACATACTCCACCTCTCTAATCCATCGTCTTTATATATAATGACACTTTCATACCTTGCAGTTTCACACTGTAACGGTTTTTGCACAAATTTAAGTAAAGCTATATGGAAACTAATTGTACACAACAATCTTACGTTGCTGGGTCCAGGGTAACCCGAGTTTGCGACTCGTGGCATCCCAAAACCTGCAGAGTGAAAATTTAAAATTTTTAAGGAAGAACACGAAGGTTGTGATATGCATTCGCTTCTTGATCTCCCTAAGTCATGATGTGTCTCAGACATATTAAATAAATGTTTGAGTACAAAATGCAGAGTCGGACAGACGATTAGCTAAACGAGCTGGAAGAGTGAGTGACCAGTTAAAGACACAGCAGGTCAATCAGATTATATAGTTTTTTAATTAGGAATAATACCAAGCCCCAGCGGAGATGTCCTCATTCCTTAGCTTCATAGCCAACATTAGCGTACTTAGCAATCTGAGTCAGTAGATTTTGGTAGAGAACCGCATTGGCATTGTAGCCCCACGTGAAGTCGAGATGATTATAATTTACGGTGTGATCCGTAAGAATCGTAGCGTTCTTCAGACCAGCGCGAAGTTGAGAAATGTCCATGCTAGTAGCCAACCAGTCATCAACGCCTCTATAAAAGCCCATACGGGGGTATCGTATGGCTCCTAGATCAAAGGCTGGCGGCTCAAATTTGCCGTAGACCTCCTTATTCTTACATAGGAATGTCGGACACCTGTCTAATCCCAATGCTTTTATACATTTGCACCCGTAATCGAAGTATCGAAACGTGTTTTCACGAATGCCTTGTGCGAAATGAGCCATATTTTTTACTGAAGTGCGTACAGGAGTTCGCGAGAGGTACACTGGCAAGCGTGAGATGTTTACATTGTTTGAAGGTCCCAAGAACGTATTTAAAAAGGAGTCACAAGCGCTTCCAGCGAAAAGTGACTTGTACTTGGTCATTACCCCGTGTAAGATCCAGTCAAATGCTCCATAACTCCGAATGCCTAGCATGGTATAAAAGAAATCCAAGTGCGAAGTGGCCATTAGCTTAAAGATTGGCGATATGATATGGCCAACGTATGCGACGGGCCCAAGTGCACCAAAGTAAGAGACTTTTTTGGCTAAGTGCTGGTTGACTGAAAACCCAGCGAACGCTTGCATGGTCCCTTCCGAGTGTCCAACATAACTCAACATCGACTGACCTGTTACGTTCAAGACGTAGTTGATCATTGCAGGCATGTCGTATAATGCCATTTCTTGCCATGAGAAATTCCAAAATTCATCGCTTTCGGTAGGATATGTCAAGTGCTGACTTGACCACGTCGTCCCGCGATTATTACCAAGCCAGACGTCATAGCCAGCATCAGCTAAAATATAAGCCAAACTTTGATTGCGAAAGTTGCATACGAATGTGAAGCTACTATCGAGCAGTCCGTGGATTAAATATACGGGAGATTTGTCAGTTGCGATTGTACTATTCCTCTGACTTTCCTCGTACGTCCTGGGCAAACGATACATGGTCAAGATATAGTTATCTGAAGTTGTAACTTTATGCTCCTCAACGCTAAAACCACGGGCTCTGATGATCTCCATGACAGAGAGACCGTAGTCAGGATAAGTGATCGCTTCATGAATTTCTTCTTGTGCACTCACGAACGTTATCGCCAGTACTACGCCCAAGACCAAGAATTTGCCACGAATTGTCATGGTCTCATGAAAGGGCAACTCGTAAAGTGAAGCTGATCCATTCGTGCAGAACGACGTGCCTCATCCGAGGACCTTGAGCCACCTCATTTAAGCAGTATTGGAGCCGGGTCATGGATGTACATGGATTGTACGCACGGGATCGTACTGGTAATTGTTTATTCCAACATACTCCTACTTAAATAGGTTCTTCTGATACGTATCTTGGAATTAGACAGGTGAGCCTTACCCTGCCACATTGAGCATTTACTATCGTACGCATCAGATAGATTTATGAGAGAGTTTTGATAGGCTAAATAATGTGTTGATGGTTCCTTAAAACATTTATACTTGGAGGAGGGACATCATGGAAACCCTACTTCTATACGTCCAACAGTAAACTTAGACTTTCTGTAGTATAAAATTTGAAAAATGGCTGGCTGCAAACATAGTCCAAGTTGAATTGATTATATATTTTCGATTGTTTGAGTACTTTCAAGTAGCAGTATGATTGAGAAAAAAACATGTTCTTGAACATCTGTTGGGCACAGACGTGTGTATGTTTTACAAAGCACTGTCGTTGACATTTTTTTTGTACTGTATTCAGGTGATTCACCACAAAACTGATGTTTTGTTCGTGCAGAAAAAGACTGTTGATCAGGGCCCCCAATCGTATTTGGGTCAAACTACCATGAAATCAAGTATAGCCTATGTTTACATTTGTCATATAATTGCGCCATCCTTATGTAATTCTCGCTCCTTTTACATAATTGAATTCATAAAGGATGCATATTTGATACTCGTTTCAGCAAGATATATCGAAAGCTCTTTCGATAGAGCTACTGTTAAAAGAAAAATTTAAAATTGAAGCGAATCCCCCTTTCATAAAACTGCGAACAAGGTAGGGCCCAGCAATAGGAGAGTGAAAGCGTTCGCGAACAAAAACTGGGGGAGCAACAATGGTGATTATCAGGTGGGATGGTCAGATTCAGGAACGATCAGGTCGACATTTCAGAGAACAGAGGTGCTGAGCTTAGAAAAGACAACGTACATGTCGCGGAGCTCTTGCGCCCAAGCGGCACTGGGGTGTGTGCAGCTTGAGACATATGGAAAAAAAACAGAAAAATTCGACTCAAGTTGAACATTTGAAGAGCTGCATAAATGGTGCCGAAGTGGCAACGCAAAAATTGCGCAGCAAAGAGGCATCGTTTATTGGTCCCTAGGTCCCTGCTGTAGATATTTTCTAGTCACTGCACTATTCCATATAAAACGAACGAAAGTGGTCGCATAGTAAGACGTACATCAATCCCACAGAACACCGAACACTAGTCCACCATTACACTACAGGGAGTGAACCAACGCTCAATTAATAAGACTCCTACTCATAAAGCGTCTGGGCCAATCTGCTGCCTCGGCCAGTGTCGCAGATCACAAGTATTAATGTGCGGAAATGAAACGTGAACTCGCAACCCGTGGTACATCAACGTCGACATTTCCCCTTGATGTCTACAAAGCTTGTCGTCATATAACCTCGTGCCTGGATATTGACAAACTTAGATTGCTTTCCACGAGCCAATTCTTTCGTCATTTTGTCAGCGATCATCTGGTCTGTATTCTAGCCGAATGACCGCACGCTAAATCTTCTCGCGCAGAATGCAAAATTGATGTCAATGTGCCTCGTGTGCAAGTAGTACAACGAATTTTGTCCAGCACTATGCAGCCTTGATTGTCTTGATAAGGTGGTGTTACATTCTAAATTCCATCCCTATGAGCGCTCCCTAGATCGCGCCATCTAGCACAATGCCCTGATTTAATGTTGCCTTCGGATACTTCAGACTGCGATTTGCAGCCACCCAAAGTAACTTTTGTTCAACGCTCACAAAACCTGGCGTCTTGCCCCACCGCGTGCGCAATGTCAGGTCGTGTGCGCGTTGCCGCAAACATCAGTGCAACAACCTGCTCTCGATACGGGTACTTTGCCATCAACGCTTTCTCTTCTGATGGCTTCACTGACTTTGAATTGATGCCAGCCAAAGTATGCACGTCCTTGCATACGCCCAAACAAAACTGCTCTATATGCCGCTTAATCTGCGCCCGCTTCTGTATCGTGGTTACCTCGTCATTACGGCTGCGATGGAACTCAATACCCGGAATATTTTTCACTTTACTAGTTTTCTTAATGTTGAGCTTATTCCTCAGCGCGCTCTTAATGAATGTAATCTTTGTCTATTGCTTAAGGAAGACGATGCTGTACTAAATGCTTAGCTGGCGGACGTAGACGCAAGGGCCTGCATCGTGGTGTTTGGAAACCTTCTTATTCGACTTGTTGTTCCACTGACGTGCTGCATCCCTTGCGCCGCGTAGTGCCTGCTTGAGTAAGTACTTCGTATCTCGTAAATATATACATCGACTTGACTCTCGAAGCATCAAGCCAATCCGTATTATACATCACTACATAGAATTACCGTATCCAGGTTAACGTGCCCCGCCTTTAACTTGACTTCTGCGGCATTTGCCTGCGTTGCATTGTCGGCCTACTCCTGTACAACTGGAGTGAACGAATTCCATTTCGGGACGCTGCGTGTAGCCTTTTGCTATCAAGCTTGCCATAAGCTTTAAAATTTCCCTCTTGGAGTCGCGTTTGATGTAACTCACCCGCTTGCATCCAATAACTCTATTGGTCTCTGGTATCTTCACAAGCTTCCACATCTTGTGGTGTTCTAATGACTTCATCTATTCCTCCATAGTCATTCCTTATTGTAATTGTTTCGCAAGACTTCATCGTATAAACAGCACGCACAACACCGTCGCCATGGTCGTGAAGACAAAAGTGTGATTTGCGTGCATCTTAAATCCACCCAGGTTGAATATAAATTTACCGCATGCCCAGGCATTTGTTTGATACTGGTCCGCGCCTTTGAGGTTTTGGTCGTATCATTCAGCCTTCTTCTTCATTCCTGCCAGATATACTTGATCCATGCGTCGGCATTGCGTGAACGAACCCTTTAATCCTCTTTTGAGTCGTTTTTACGTAGATGCATTGTTGGTGTGCAGAAGCCTTCATCAACATCAGTATCCTCTGCAGTATTCTCTATCTCTCATCAATAACGACGTCAATCACACCTTTACTGTTGTCCTTCGACAATAATAATTAATTCCCCTTGTTATTCATGGAATATCCAAGAATGTAGCTAATTACACCTGAATCTTCTAGCTTAACGCGCGATTTTAGGTTAGAACGGCGAGCCCTTGTAGAGTTTGTCACGTTGTCAGCAGCTGCGATATCATGTCACATGATTTTTAAAGAATTTAAAGACGGGCTACAGCGTGCTTTAACTACCTGGAAGCATCATTTCGACGCAGCGACAACGGCAAACGCTTTCAGAGGTTTGTCACGATATCAGCAGCTATGCGCAGCATTAAGTTCCAAGCACTCGCATGTAATTAAACCAGATTTTCCGCTTAACGAATGTCGGTAGCTATCGTGATCGCCTCACAACAGTTTGTCTTTTCTACTTTTTCTTACAGCATTCAGCGTGTCGTATGGATCAGAAGCCTTTTCACCTGCTTCACCATACAATTCTACTGAGAATTGTAGAGAACAGTGTACTCTTGTTTGACCATCTTGGTATCAAAAAGTGCATCCATTGCCGCATTGCAATATTCGCCATCGTTATCGCTTTGCAACACCTTGATCGTTAAATCAGGTTTTTTAATGAAATTTATCAGCGCAATCACAACGGCGTTCTTTTTTCGCATTAGATACATCGTTAGGTAGTGACTCTTCATCGTAATAAAGCTACAATGTACCTGTATTTTGATATCGCTGCTGGTGTGATTGGTCTGAAAATTCTGAACACACGATGCTGTCTGTGCTGGCCGCCAGCTGACCCTTGCTCGTTCTTCCGTCTGTTTAACTGTTGCACATACACCACGCGCTGCATATAACAGAAATTGCCCTTCTGACTTACTGAAGAAGGCTGAATTTAATTGATACGCTCCACCGCGTGTTGGTCACTTCCAGCGAGCCGTTGATTTATTTGAGATAGAATGGGACGTTTTCTATGGTCAATAAGCCTTAAAACACCCTATATTGATGAGTGCCTCCAAATTCTGATACAACAGAGTTGAGGTATACACAACTCTACACGGTTCAAATTTGATACGAACCACACAGGTATGGTTCACACAACATGTTTAATGGTCTGGCCATTACACCACCACCCACACAAAAAAGGCTTTAACTATTTCCTCTAGAATCTTTCTCTGACTGTGAGACTCGATTATACGTGATCTCACACGGAATGAAGCGCGTCGAAGACGACTTGTGATGGCGACGAGCGCAGAGTAAAGTTACATCTCAATATGAGGATGCGAAGGCATCTTTGCTACCATCGAACTTAAATAATGCTTTCATTCCACGTCAAACAGTACGTTCGCGCGCTGAGCGGAAATCTGGCATCAAACGGCCAGCTCGATGACGATTGTAATGAAGAAACCATTGACGCGCTCAGCCATCCAGCGTATTTGCGTTACCGTGAGGTCGATTGTCGTCACGAGTTTTTTGACCGACGTGGTGGTGCCATTGTAGAGTTTTACACATTCTTTAGGTTAATGAAAGCTTGAGTGATGACTCGAACCGCGTATTTACGCGCCATCGGACCGATTACACGTGCAGTAGGAGAACCACGAAGTTTCATATACGTACCGTACATCCAGCAATACCATCTGGATTTCGTCCAGGAAATCAAATTCTGAGCATGGGTTTGTGCGACAAAATTCAAGGATATCAACCGCTTGCAAAGTGCGAATACCGCTGCAGACTTGTTAAAGGCACGCGATGTGCGCTTTCGGTTTGCTCATTAAGCATCGCAGAATCGAATTTTACTCCGATATCGAGGATGCCCACGAAGTACATGCGGTCATTAGTCGATTTCATGATGAGAGGGAGAGAGGGAAGGAAAAAGGACAGATCCTCTGTGCGGATTTCGTCTTTGGACCTGCATCGTTCGCGAGAACGATAT